AGTTGCAATCGCAGAGGTGGACCAGCCGAGGGCGTTTCTCGTTCGCTGTAGCATAGGGGGTACGTGCGGTAATACGCCTCTATCGGACCCGCACGCGAACCAACATCTTGGGGGGGCTGAGGTCCCAAACGCGACTCATCATCGGTCRACTAGGACGCATCCCACACACAACGCGCACTCCACTTTACGAACACACAGACATACAAAACAACATATATACGAAACGACACGATACCAACAACGCGACAACGCTCCTAGCCCCTCGGTAGCCAACCCATAACTTTCCAGTCCGGAAATCGGATAGGCGTCGCGCGCTGAACTTAGTATAAAATCGCGCGGACGCAGGGCATACTCATATCGACTTGCAATGCAGGCGTACACAAGCAGTCGCAACGATGGCGTACTATGTAGTGCCCATAATCAAGCGGTCCCTCGTGGATCCGAGTACCGCTTATGACACTCAAGTGTCAGACTTGAAGTGTCGTGAGGGCCTAACCCTTCACGACATTGCACGGCTGAAGGAATAGTCTTGCAGCCGCCGCTGCACCTTAGGCTCTCGACCTGAGTGTCTCGGTAGGCAAATCAAATAGGCTCTGCGCGAGGGAAAACCTCTCCCCTGCCGAGCCTAGGGCTTGGGATGTCCTGAAGAAGGACTTCGAACCCTGGCCGAGGACCAAACGTCCGACTAAGAAAATCATCAAAAAGCAAGAGATGAGAATAAAAGGAGAGACCTCCCCTAAACCCCTCAGTCTCAGCTTCTGAGTGAGGCTCTAATGTGGGGCTCTTCAACCCATGCAAACATTCATCCCAAGTATACCCATGTATACATATATAAGGGTTAAGTATGTGACGATCACTTCTTATGGTTCCGCTGGGGTCTTTCACAATAATATGTATAAGTGTGATCGTAGGCAACCAAATCCAGAATCTGATTCACAGCACATACCTGCCATCACATCAACGAACCAAATTGACAGCCCACACCCTACACGAGGTCAACCCCAACCACCTTCGACACTCATACCCCTCGCTTTAGCCATGCAAGCCCCAAACCTCCTGTCCAACCCTTCGCATCGAGGTCAGATCCTTGCACTTACATGGGTTCTGGACTCGTTTTCATCTGGCGAAGAGTCCGACCAGATTCGTTGTTGAACCGGTGCAGATAGAATGGTGAGAGGAAGGCGCATCGATAATAGAGAGAGGGGGGGGGAGAGAGAGAGACAGAGCGAGGGAGAAAGAGAAAGAGGAAGAGAGAGAGAGAATGACTCATCTGGTTGCCTGGTGGGGATCATGAATCTTTGAACGTATCTCTTCATATTCTAGTAGAAGATTCATCCTCATATGCCACAAGGGAGTATACGTTGTTCATCGTTGTCACTGAGCTGCTACTGACGATCATCGTCTTCACTTTAGGTGTTGCTCGTCGTTGTACCCACCGTTAGGATTTTGCTCGCGACTGCCATCCAAGTGTTGTTGTCCGCAACGATCTCATTGCTATGCACGGTAATCACGTTATTGATTCGTAGCGCTGATTGTTGTTATCACCATTTTGGTGTCGTTCCTCATACTATGTGATTGCACGACTTAAAGTTTTTCCTCCCTCTGAATTTTGATGGAACTTGATCAGGTTAACGCCAGATACATTTGTACACTTATGGTTGGAAAGGGTGAAAAC